CACTCTGCGCCCTGTTGTGTTCATGGAGACGCAGTAAAGGGCCCAAGGTGCGAACACGCCCCAGCCTAGGGTTACCATACGTCGCCATTTTCCCGGACATGTTCGGCTTTTTGGCAATTCCCCCCGGACGGGGGTTTGAGTGCCGAAAAGCCGGACATGTCCGGGAAAAAGAGGACGTATGGTAACCCTAGGCTGGGGCGTGTTCGCACCTTGGGCCCTTTACTGCGTCTCCATGAACACAACAGGGCGCAGAGTGATTTAGCCGCCGGCGCTTCTGGCCCCCCCCCATGGCGGGTGTTTGGGGGCAGCCGGCTGGGGGGAGCTGGGAGTTTGGGGGAAGTAGGTTGGGGGTGTCGGGAGGGGGGTTGAGGGGGCCGGGATGGGGGACAGGAGTTTGAGGGCAGACAGGCTCCCACAGAAGGTCAGAGCTGAGGGGGGAGTAGGATTGTTGGGGTGTCTGAGGGGGGAGGGGCAGATGGTGCCCCCCAGGAGAGAGCTGCCATTGCTACCCCTCAGCAGGCTCCCCTCTCACTGCCCCCTCCTGCTCCTGCCCCCTCAGTCCTGGGTCCCCACTTTCTTTCCCCTCAGTCTCCTGCCCCCACACTCCCCTCTGCCCCACATTCCCTGCCCCATAATGACCCCCCCATGCCTCAGCATCCCCTCCCTTCTTCCTCGTCTCCACCCCTCTAGATACTCCTGCCCCCCCCCACATTCTCAGCCCCCTAGTGTCCTTTCCTGACCCCCCTTCTCTGTCCCCACACTTTGCCCCCCCCACCCTCAAGTGGGTCTGAGGTGGGGGGGCAGGATTGTTTCCTGCCAAAACCCCTGCTGAGCTGAGCGGGGGCAGGGAGAGGGGACGGGGCGCCCCCATGGCCATGGGGTAGGTTCAGCCTCAAACACACATGGGGGGACCCCAAATCCCCCCTCCTCTGTCACTGTCCTGCCCAAGGCTCCCCTCAGCTCCTGCCCCCTCAGTCTCTTCCCCTCCCCCCACATTCTTCTTCCCTCCCTCAGCCCCACACGCTGCCTGGTCTTTAATGCCCCACACATCCTCTCAGCCTCCCTGACGGGGAACAGGTTGGGTGGGAGATGGGGGCTTTGCGGGAGATGGGCTGATGGGGGGGTGAGCGTGGGGAGGGGCAGGCCAGGGGGCTCTTTCCCATGTAGGTGCCCCCACACAGCAAAGCGGGGGGCGAGGATTGCTGAGATGGGGCAGCAGTGTGAGGGGATAGGGGATGGGGCAGAAAGGGGGAGGGGACGTGGGGCATGAGGGGACACAACGGGGGTGAAGGGACACGGGATGGGGGACAGAACTGGGGGAATGGGAACCTGAATGGGGGGAGGGGGACGTGAGGGAACTCAGGCTCGGGGGACAGAATGGGGGAGGGGACACTGGCCAGGGAGCAGAATGGGGGGCTGAGGGGCCCAATGTGTGAACGTCGGGGGTGGGGGGTGAAGGGCAAACGAGATGGGGAGCCAGAGCTGGGGCATCTGCCGGGGGGGGGTTGTCTTGAGTTCTGTTCCCATGTTCTTGTCTCCTCCCCTTTCCAGGGGGCTGGTCGCCCCCCTGCCATCCTGGGTGTCCCTTTCACAGCATCCTGAGGTCGGAGAGGGAAGCTCAGCTCAGCCGTCCGCCCCTGTGAGCTCTGCCCCGGGCCCTGAGCTGCACACACCCGCTGCCCCGGGGATGGGTTGGGGAAGGGACACAGGGCCTTTCACCTCTACGGGGCTGGCTCTGATCTGTGTCCTTTTCTCTAAGCACCAGACCCCACCTCCAACCAGTCCCCCACCCCCCAATCACTAGACCCCATTCCCCTCCCAGTGCCGGGGTATATTACAAGGTAGCAGCCGGGGCATCAGGTTTATGCCGAGTTTCACTAAATTTGTTCTAAAGTGCCACAAGGACTCCTCGTTGGTTTTTTTGGTACCAGAAACAGGAAGCGAGCTCCGGCTCTGGGCAGACTTCCCCTTTTCACAGATTTACTAGTTCCTTCTTTAACAACTCAGGGTCTAAATTTACCCCTACGTCCACCCCTTCACAGGTGCCGGAAACCACAACCCCTCCCAGCCCCACACCCTTCTGTCCTGTCTCTGTGCCACATCACTTGGCTAAGAACTGGGTCTGCAGCGACTCTACCCGAGAAGGAGGTTGGCCAGGCCCCTCCACCCTCATGCTCCAGGGCAGGCGTTGGGCCCAGCTGGGGCAGGAAGGAATCTTTTCCCAGCTCCATGGGAGAGGGTCACTCTGTGAGGAGCACTGTGTGGGGGTGGGGAGCCCTCCTCTGCTTTGAGCTGCTACTCCAGGGAGGCTAGATGGATCTGTTGGAAAAGGTCAGGGCAGCCTGGTCACCTCTTGACACCTCCTGAGATTTCCCCTTTCCCAGCTGGTCCTTGGACTGGGCAGCTCCCATGTGGGGCTCGGAGGTGATGGGGGGGGGGAGGGCTGGGCACCTGCAGGAGGGGATGTGGTTTGCTGGGTGTTGCAGGGATCTGACTTTGCTCTGACCACAGTAGATTTGGGCTGGAGATTGCAGAGAAACCATCTGATGGGGTGGAAAGGGGCTGAGCGCATCACGGGCTTCCTGGGGCTGCAGCCCCCGGCGCAGTTCCTCATTCTGCTCGCACTCAGGCCTTAGGCTCGGTGGAGCTGGGCTCTAGGGCGTTGGTGGCAGCGCTGAGGGGTCCCCACTGCCTCGTCATGTCGTCTGCTCTCATCGTCCTCCTCCTCGGTGAGTATCGGAGACAGCCAGGGTGTGTGTCCATGGGGGGAGGGGGGAGGATCTCAGACCAGAGTGTGTGTCCACAGGTGGGGTGTATGTGTGTGTCTGAGACCAGGGTGTGTGCCCATGCGGGGGATCTGAGACCAGGGCGTGTGCCCATGGTGGGGGGTGGGGATCTGAGACCAGGGCGTGGGATCCAGGTGCTCTGGGATCTGGTCACTAACGAGCCGTCTCCTCTCCAGGCTGCTGGCTGGCCGGGCACAGCGGGGTGTGGGGAGGTGAGTATCAGTCTGTGGGGAGGACGGTAACATCAAGGACGGGGGAGGGGATGCGTGGGGTGGGGAAAAGAGGAACTGAGCCCTGAACCTTCCCCAAAATTCAACCCAGACTCCCCCCATAAGCTCAGACCTGGCCCCGTTCTTCTGTGCCCCCAACGCACCCACGGAGTACCTAGGAGCCAAATCTGACGAAGCAGACGGGAACCGTCCCCTGGTTCAATGTCCTGCCCCCCACAGGCTCAGAGGATTGGGGGTGGGGGCTGGCCCGTGGATTTATTTCAACTCATACAAATGCTAACAGGGCCCGTCCGTGGGCTCTAGAGCCCCTCGGGGAAGCGAAATGTTCCCGGTCAGTGCAGCCGTGGGGGAGAACCCCCCAGATTCACTCCCACCACCAGATCTTCCCCCAGACCCAGATCCACCCTCCAGCACCCTCCCCTGCACTCACAGCCCCCCCCCGTTCCCAAGGCCTGGGGAGGGGGTGGAGTGGGGGTGAAAAGGGGCGAGGCGGGGGTGGAGCAGGGGCGGGGGCCATGGGGAGGGGGTGGAGTTGGGGCAGAGCAGGGGAGGGAAGAGACGGAACAGGGGCTGTAGCATCACATCGCTTTCCTGAGCCCTACACAGCTGCGTACTTTGTGTATGGGTAGGGACGGCCTTGACTACATAGTTCACCTTGTTTACCTGTCTGATGACCTTGAAGGGGCCGTCCCAGGCCGCTTGCAGCTTGTTCTTCCTCAAGGGGATGAGGAGAATCACCTGGTCCCCGGTAGCATAGGAGCTGGCACGGGCTGAGCGGTCGTACCAGACCTTCTGCTCCCTCTGGGCCCTTGCTAGGTTCCCCCTAGCCAAGCCCATGAGCTCCACGAGCTTTTCCCGGAAAGTCAGTACATACTCCACCATTGATTCCCCATCGGGAGAGGCCTTTCCCTCCCGCTCGGCCCTCATCAAGTCCAGGGGCCCCCTCACTCTCCTCCCGTACAGCAACTCGAACGGGGAGAACCCTGTGGATTCCTGGGGCACTTCCCTATATGCGAACAGCAGGTGGGGTAAATACTTGTCCCAGTCCTGCGGGTGCTGGTCCATAAAGGTTTTCAGCATCCTCTTTAGGGTCCCATTGAACCTTTCCACCAGCCCGTTGGGCTGAGGGTGGCAGGCTGAGGTCCAGGTGTGTCGGACCCCACACTTCTCCCACAAACACTGGAACAGGGTCGACATGAAGTTAGACCCATGGTCTGTAAGGACCTCCTTGGGGAACCCCACTCTGCTGAAGATGGTCAGCAGCGTGTCTGCCATGTTGTCTGCCAAGGCCACTGCCTCGGGGTAGCGCGTAGCGAAATCTACCACCACCAGGATGTATTTCTTCCCTGACCGGGTCACCCTGTTGAGGGGCTCCACTATGTCCACGGCCACCTTCTGGAAAGGCTCCTCTATGATGGGCAAAGGTCTCAGCGGTGCTTTACACTTATCCTGGGCCTTTCCCACCCTCTGGCAGGAGTTACAGGTCCTGCAATACTGTTGGACAGCGTCAAAGATCCCGGGCCAGTAAAAGTTCTGCAGCAGCCTCTGCCTGGTGCGCCGGATGCCCTGATCCCCCAAAAGGGGGATATTGGGGGGATGTCGTGGGCCAAGTGCAACACTTCGTGGCGGTACCTCTGGGGAACAACCAACTACCTCCTAGGGTGACCAGATGTCCTGATTTTATAGGGACAGTCCTGATTTTTGGGTCTTTTTCTTATATAGACTCCTATTACCCCCCACCCCCGTCCCAGTTTTTCACACTTGCTGTCTGGTCACCCTACTACCTCCTGGCTTCCCAAGGTTCAGTTTGCCCTGAACCAGTCCATTCCCGGTACAGGAATCCCTTCTCCAGGACCGGCTCTAGATTTTTTGCCGCCCCAAGCAAAAAAAAAATTTGGCTGCCCCCCTCCGTCCCAGCCCTGGGCTCCCCCCGCACCTCCCTGCTGCCCTAGCCCTGGGCTCGCCCCTTCCCCCCCACCAGTGCCCCCCCACCCACACACCCCCTGCCGTCCCAGCCCTGGGCTCTGCCCCCTCCACCTGCACCCCCTGCCGCCCCAGCCCTGGGCTCTCCCCCCTCCACCTGCACCCTCCTGCCGCCCCAGCCCTGGGTCACTGGTAACTTGCTCCCAGGGCGGGTCATTCAGCAGGAATTTGGGATGTGCACAGAACACAGATAGGATTGTTTCCCATATGGTCACAGAACTGCATAAAGTGGAACAATTTTCAGCTTGTGTGATTGGAGGATATCTGGATGCATATTATATTTTATATGCATATTATATCTGGATGCATACTGTCCTCCATAAATGAGGAAAAGTTGAGGTGCCTTTAGTATTCTTTTGTTCCACTCTTTGTTTCTATGGGGAATTTGCCAATGCAATATCACTGTCTTCCTTTTAAACAAACAAACAAAAGGCAATGGCTGTTGAAAATAGCAATTCCAGTCCTAATAACCACTGGGAAGCATTTCTTGCCCAATTTTATCCTACTTTTTCTACAGCAAGTTACAGTGGATCAGTAGATTTGATTTGGGAGAAATTAGGGTTAGCATATTTAGCAAATAAAAAAAGAGGACCCTCCACGGGCCCTGGCCCCGCCCATTTCCCCACCCCAGTCCCAACCCAACTCCGCCCCTTCCCCGCCCCAACCCCGCCCCCTCCTCCCTCCCACTCCCAGGCACGCGGAAAGGGCTGCCCAAGCGCTACCGGCTTCACGGTTTGCCGGGCAGCCCCAGACCCTGCACCTCCGGCCGGC